GACTTCGATGGTAATGCTGTTGACTGGTTCGGCTTTGAGACACATTTTCATAGCATTTAGAGATAATCACAGCCCAAGGAGCCTTGAGCCGCCCAGATTGATTCCCTCTGACAACCGCCTTTTGAGTCTTGCCAGTTTTCCATGGCAGGTATGAGTGGAATGAGGGGTTACAACCAGATCCTCCACTGCACGATAGACATTCGATTTCTGTTCACAATCGTAGTGGGGGTTTCAATGCCGAAGTAACCTAAGTAAGGAATGAGGCCAGCCGATGTATAAGCCAATGCTCCTATTTTCCAAGATTGCCTGGTATCAGCTTGCTGACCGTGGAGAGATGGAAGGCTGCTCGACCTTGCTTGATCAGCCCGGGAAACGATTCCCTGATTATGTGTGTGATAGTACCTCTTAGCACACTTAACACAACTCTCCCCATCTCCTTTCAGGGAGGGGGAGATGAAATGATCGCATTCTGCACACTCCAGCTATCCTCTCCAGGAGAATCGGTCGGCGGCGGTATCGTTCGTATAGAGGGAAGCTCACTCGTTCCGGTCAACCAGTCACTTTCTAGACTGGGTTAACTTACTCAATTTCCTTTTAGAGTGACATCGATATACATTTATACACATTCAAACGCCGATATCATTATAAGCGAAGCCTGAGTGCATGGCGCATCCACTGGTCTGATATCGGTCATTGTTCAATTTACTACTGTTCCTCGTTTCCTTCCTCAATTCAGATCTTCAATTAAACATGAGTACCACACATTGAGCTTTCCCTATTTTTTTTATAAATGTTCAATGGCAAGATAAAAGGTTGCTTTTTGATAAGCCTACATCTCAAGGAGGATCATGGAACGTTCCCAGTAAGCGCCGAATGTCGAGCGGGGTCTTTGGGAGAGCTTAGTTGAGCCGAATCATACATCAATGTCACTTGTTCATTGTTATGTCTGAAAATAGAAAGTTCTTTCTTTGAGGGACCTGCTAGATTTCCTCGCTTAACTCGTTTGAGGTCCCGAACGGATTTTTTCGTAATCTGTTACGGTGATTGAAAGCCCGTCGATTTTTTTGGTCTGGATCTAAGACTAAGATCTGGCGGATATTTTTTTCATTGGGGGAAAGCCACATTCTTTTACCTATATGAATGATCCCAGTCTATTGGATGGACCCTTCATGCAGCCTACCTGCAACCTATTTTCTTTTTGCCTAACTTCTTCCTTGTTTTTCGGCTGTTTGCTATGTTTTCTTTTTCCATATTGTTTATTTAATTTTTCTCTTATTTTTTCGGAAAATTGGCTATTGTCATTCAACTCGTTCTTCTGCGCTATGTGGAACAACTTTCGATTTGATTAGGGTAATTGAAATGCTCTTTCAATACCCCATTCGTTTATACGACCCATTACAGGGTGATTTGGAATCACCATGAAGCCATTTTATCGGAAAAGCCGTGGTGGTTGCATGTTTGTCAACATCTGCGAACAGTCGTGAAGGACTGAAAGGGCAAATTCTTTGGTCGTTGTTCAATCACGTCTGATGGATACGCCACGCATT